ATGGAAGAATTTAAACGTAATTTGATACATAGGCACTTGGAATAAAGGAAAATCAAACGCCAATTTCAAAATTTGGTTTTGCGCATGCGCAGTGCCAACTTTTATTTATGGAAGAATTTAAACGAAATTTGATACATAGGCACTTGGGATAAAGGAAAATCAAACGCCAATTTCAAAATTTGGTTTTGCGCATGCGCAGTGCCAACTTTTTTTTATTTATGGAAGAATTTAAACGAAATTTGATACATAGGCACTTGGGATAAAGGAAAATCAAACGCCAATTTCAAAATTTGGTTTTGCGCATGCGCAGTGCCAACTTTTTTTATTTATGGAAGAATTTAAACGAAATTTGATACATAAGCACTTCGAATAAAGGAAAATCAAACGCCAATTTCAAAATTTGGTTTTGCGCATGCGCAGTGCCACCTTTTTTATTTATGGAAGAATTTAAACGAAATTTGATACATAGGCACTTGGGATAAAGGAAAATCAAACGCCAATTTTAAAATTTGGTTTTGCGCATGCGCAGTGCCAACTTTTTTATTTATGGAAGAATTTAAACGAAATTTGATACATAGGCACTTGGGATAAAGGAAAATCAAACGGCAATTTCAAAATTTGGTTTTGCGCATGCGCAGTGCCAACTTTTTTATTTATGGAAGAATTTAAACGTAATTTGATACATAGGCACTTGGAATAAAGGAAAATCAAACGCCAATTTCAAAATTTGGTTTTGCGCATGCGCAGTGCCAACTTTTTTATTTATGGAAGAATTTAAACGAAATTTGATACATAGGCACTTGGGATAAAGGAAAATCAAACGCCAATTTCAAAATTTGGTTTTGCGCATGCGCAGTGCCAACTTTTTTATTTATGGAAGAATTTAAACGAAATTTGATACATAGGCACTTGGGATAAAGGAAAATCAAACGCCAATTTCAAAATTTGGTTTTGCGCATGCGCAGTGCCAACTTTTTTATTTATGGAAGAATTTAAACGAAATTTGATACATAGGCACTTGGGATAAAGGAAAATCAAACGCCAATTTCAAAATTTGGTTTTGCGCATGCGCAGTGCCAACTTTTTTATTTATGGAAGAATTTAAATGAAATGTGATACATAGGCACTTGGAATAAAGGAAAATCTAGCGCCAGTTTCAAAATTTTATTTTGCGCATGCGCCGTGCCAACTTTTTTATCTATGGAACTATTTAAGTGAAATTTGATACTTAGGCGCTTGGAACAAAGGAAAATCTTAGTTTATTAGTTAGTTATAGTAAATTAGTTTTAAAATTTAGGTTTGCGCATGCGCAGTTCCAACTTTCTTATTTAGAAAAGCATTGAAATGAAATTCTTCTCATAAACTGAAATTGAAGTAGCACGTCAACAATGGATTGCCCATGTGCAACGCTATCTTTCATATTTGTGGCCGGATTTTTACGATTTTAACAGAAGTTGCATCTTACAAATGGGAAATGAATGCAAGTGGAAATGCGCTTTATGTAAATCGTTTACGATTACTTTTTAACTTGTTAGTATTTAAGCTTATCATATAGAGTTGGAGTGGAATGTTAAGCATTGATACGATTTTAATAAGTAACACAGGACTTTTATGTACGAGGAGGCAATTATGAAAGATTGTTAAATTTAGCTAATGAAACGATGAAACTTTTGAAGCATTCAAAACGGCAATTTCAGTTTTTAAATTTTTTAATTTTGTAAAACGGGAATACTTGATAACGTTAAATTCAAAATTATTTTTTATCTGCATCTTGTGCTTTTTTTGCCATATAGCAGGAATGTTGTCATCGTATGATTTTATCACATTTTTAGCGCATTTCCACAAAAATAAAAAAAAAATGCGCTATTGTGGCCACTTTTTCCGTCCGTCCGTCCGTCCGTTCGTTTTGCGACGCTACTAGTTCTTTATCTTAAGAGCTATTGTTCTACTTTTTTCGCTATTTGGTTCGTTATGGTGTCGAGTCTTGTACCAAGGAAGGAATTTTTTCTGTACCGCTTACAAAAAAAGTTATTGTAAAAAAAACAAAAAACCGTTTTTTACATGTTCCATAATTTTACACTTTTGCCGTTTATTACGATCCTAGAGATCGTTTATAATTTTGCATTGCTATCTGTCGTCTGCCTGTTGGTCTGTCCGTCTGTTCCTTTGTCTGTCTGTCCCTCTATCTGTCCGTGTGAACGATAACTTTGTTTAGAAATGTCCGATCGCTTTTACATCTCCGTTAGTTATGAACTGAATTGCATGAAATTCAATATGGGCATAGCTTTAGCCATATAATACGCAATGCCAAAAGTTGAGTCGAATCGATTCAAAATTCACAGTGCCCTTTTCGCATCTCGACCATTTATAAACCGAATTGCAAACTTTTTTACTTATAAAAGTATTTGAATGAAATTTGATACATAGGCACTTGGAATAAAGGAAAATCAAACGCCAATTTCAAAATTTGGTTTTGCGCATGCGCAGTGCCAACTTTTTTATTTATGGAAGAATTTAAACGAAATTTGATACATAGGCACTTGGGATAAAGGAAAATCAAACGCCAATTTCAAAATTTGGTTTTGCGCATGCGCAGTGCCAACTTTTTTATTTATGGAAGAATTTAAACGAAATTTGATACATAGGCACTTGGGATAAAGGGAAACGCCAGTTTCAAAATTTGGTTTTGCGCATGCGCAGTGCCAACTTTTTTTATTTATGGAAGAATTTAAATGAAATGTGACACATAGGCACTTGGAATAAAGGATCATCGAGCGCCAGTCTCAACATTTTCTTTTGCGCATGTGCAGTGCCAACTTTTTTATCTATGGAACTATTTAAGTGAAATTTGATACTTAGGCGCTTGAAACAAAGGAAAATCTAACATTAGTTTTAAAATTTAGGTTTGCGCATGCACAGTTCCAACTTTCTTATTTAGAAAAGCATTGAAATGAAATTCTTCTCATAAACTGAAATTGAAGTAACACGTCAAAAATGGATTGCCCATGTGCAACGCTATCTTTCATATTTGTGGCCGGATTTTTACGATTTTAACAGAAGTTGCATCTTATAAATGGGACATGAATGCAAGTGGAAATGCGCTTTATGTAAATCGTTTACGATTACTTTTTAACTTGTTATGATGGGACTAGGTATACTCAATACTGAACATGATTGGACAAGATACTGTAAAGGAATGAATGTGCTCTACCGTGGTGCA